TTTTTCAAAACTTCCTTCAAACTTCCTTTCTTTTTGTGGCAGTTTGGAGGTAGTTTGATGGAAGTTTGCAGGCAGTTTCAACCTGCAAGTGTGGAAGTTTGTCACGCACATGGACTGAAACTGCAATAATATGCAAATTTTGTAACATAAACTTCCTCATGCCTATGATGAAACTGCAAGTAAACTTCCTCAGTGCCTGTGGTAGTTTTGAGGAAGTTTTGATTTGTCCGAGACAAAAAAATTGTCTCAGACACAGCCAAAAATAGTCTAAGACTGTTTCTTCAAAATAGACTTAGACAAATTTTGAAAAGTTGTCTTAGCCAAAAATCATGTTGTCTTAGGCAACAAAAAAGTTATCTAATAGACAATTTTTTACAAAATAGATCTTATAGACAAAAAATAGTCTAACCTGGTCTATTGGGTTCGAGTTCGAATTCGAATTCGAATCGACGACAGCGATTTTGGAGTTCGACTCTTTCTATTCGTCCACTGGGTTGACTTCTAACAGTTCCAGTTCGAGTTCGAGATCGAGTTCGAGATCGAGTTCGAGATCGAGTTCGAGTTCGAGTTCGAGTTCGAGCGGGGCACACTATGGCGTTTTGTGAACCTCACAGTGCACTTTGGGAAGAACGGAGCGCTGATCTTGACATCTAGGTCTTATGTCAGATGGCAAGAGCCTGGTGGCCCTTAGCATCCACCCCAGTGGGTTGTGATGGTCTTATGTCACTATTCAACAGTTTTGTCTTTTTAAACTGACTTTGCCGGCAGGCACAGCACTGTATGCCCTCGGGTGGCTTGCAAAAGGTATCCTACGGGTTAACCTCTAAATTTTAACCTCGGGTGTCTCCCACAAGATGTACTATGTTGGAATGGTCCCTTTCCTTCTCCAAATTGTACCTGGGCAGCGCTTTGTGAATCTCGCTGATCTAAGCATCCAAGTCTTTTGTCAAATGGCCATGCAAAGCCTGGTGGCGCTTGGCATCCACTGTTATGGGGTTGCGGTGGTCTGATGTGTACATGCTTCAAATTAGTGTAACAGCCTGTGACATATTCTAAAAAGGTATCTAATGGTATCTATATTAAGTTGTTGTTTAATTAATGGTCTTTCCCCGGTGGATTTCCAAAAAATATGGCGGGCGAAGGGTTTTGTAAGCTGAAGGGAAAAAGATGTTGTAAAAGGCACGGCACGGCTTAGGCACTTAGTGCAGATTTCGTGGCTACCGAACACCAGGAATAGGAAAAACATACAAAGGCAGAAAAGCAAGGCAGAAAACTAACTAAGACTCCCTGACTCGGACTGAAAGACAACTAAAGACCATAGTGACAGCAACAAAGACCAAAATACGAAAGGGAATTAATACGCCAAAGCCAAGACGAGAAGAAGGAGACTCAAGGCAAGCAGGAGAAAAGACAGGAAAAACAAACCAAGCACACCACCTAAGAAAAGAAAGAGGATTCACAAAGAAGCAATGAAAAGCAAGGAAAAGCAACACAAGTTAACACAAGCACAGAAAAGCAGGAAAAGCAGGAAAAGCAAGAAAAGCAGAGAAGCACTGAGAAGCAAGGAAAAGCCAGGAACGCAGGAGATATCACGAGCACAGAAAAGCAGGAAAAGCAACAAAAGGAGCAAGAGGCAGAAACAAAAAATGCAAAACAAAAACAACCAAATCCAGAAATACAAAGTTGTTTTCTTTTAACGAGCATCAACTACACTTTCCTCATTTATCGTAGACAACGATGTCTTCAAGTTACGTAGACATGACGCGAAGATCATCAGTCATCTAACAACAGAATACAATATACAGCAGATACCCAGTGTTATGATCCTTCCAATTACATCGCTGAAATTGTTGTGAAATCGATGACCAGTTTTCCACATACATCGCTGAAATTGAAATTGTTGCGAAATTGACGGCGATGTCAAAAAGCACAAAACACTGCGGCTCGGTATGCAACTACCCATGATTCCAAACCAAACCCCCAACAATCCTAACCCACCACTGGGATGTATATATATATATTCCAAGTCAGTTGGCTGCTTAGGACCTCAAAATTGCCAATCCTTTGAGACCCTATCGAGCCTCCCAGTCGCACCATGTCCACAGCTACCATGGTAGCACTGCCATTCTGCCTGGGAGCATTGCAGAACTCTTCCACTGACCACGTGCAGGAAATCCAGTTGCTGCAGGGGGGAAGTCGACATATACCAGCTGCATACTCCTTACATAAGTGGGATTTGTTCCAAAAAATCTATGTATAAGTCGCGGGTCAATCCCTGTATGAAAGTGATATGTAAGGAGTATATACAGTAACTGGTCTGGGCTCTACCTGTTTGGTTCTTCCCTGTCCAGTACTCCAGGAAAGCCTGCTGGTTGAGGCAAACTTCTCAAACACTCCTGCCCCTGGCAACCAAAAGGGTAGGTCCTCAGGCTCTGGAAGGGGACAAGAGGAGCAGTTTTGATGTCGACCTGGGATCAGCAATTGTGCCATCTACTCAACTCTGAAACTACTATACTGCTGAATAACAAAACAGAAAACGTCCAACTCATTGCAATGAACAGCCCATGCAGTCCTCCCCTTTTTGAACCGACTCAAATCAAAAAGATCACTCCGAGGGCTTCTGGCAGGAAGATGCTGGAACTCAGAAATCTTGGATTTGAGCCAACAGTTGACTTAAGGAGTGCAAATGGCATCCTCTCTGATCCAATCTATGGGAAATCAAGTTTTCAGCCTCATCTATCCGGCAGAGCAACCGCCAAATGCACCTGGCCTGACATTCCACAGGAGGTGCACACCGCCTGACACAAAGGAGAAGCTCAGAACATAGACAGCTTTCTTTTTGGCCAGGACGTTGAGAGAAGGATGGTAGTATGAAGCTGAAGATTCAGAACATGGCCTTCTGCCCTTTGACTGAGATGCTTTGATCGCTGGCAACCTCAGTTTACCACGTCCCAAGAGCACCTTCGGCCCGAAGACTTTTTGATGCCACGGTTCCCAAGAATGAAATGAATATCCCCTAGGGCTCCAACCATATCCTCAGAAGGTGGTTAGACCCCCCAAACCCACCTCAACCACCTTCTGAGGACGTGGTTGGAGCCCTTAGGGATCAATGAACAGTTCGCCCACCCACCCTACGGTCACCCCCCATCTCAGGGTCAAGTTCTCACCTCTCTCGTGCTGCTCGGGCCTCGGCAACGAACCTTCCATGTGCACCTGGAGAGTTCTCGTCCCAAGTGAAGCTAAAAGGAGAGGGAATGATTTGCAAATTTGAAAGAAACATGACATCTTGAAGGAATGGAACCGGAGGGCAAAACATGACATACTACATTACATTACATATATACCAGCGCCACCCAGTTCGGGTGGTTGTTGGATGGAAAATATGTATATAAAACATATTTTGTTCAGGGGTGTCTATGAACCACCTGAACTGGGTGGTGTTGGTATTTATATAATTATGTCATATATAAATATATTTTTTGTATCGGCATATACACTCTGACTCACTAACATGGAAGTGGGAAACCCCCTGTTGGTAGAGAACAAATCAGAAAAAATTGTCTTCCAAGATCTTCCAAGTGGCCCATGCCATCCACTTCCATGTAAGTGAGTCAGAGTGTAAACTTCAAGAGTCTGACATATGATCCTGAGGATCTGCGGAACATCGATGGTTGCTTTTCAGTCGATGGTTCTCCACCCTTCAGACCCACTTTCTGCTTTGCAGGGCCAAAGGGTGAGACCGGAGCACCCCGGGTTCACCGTGTCTTCTTTAAGGAGTTCTACACGGTCGGATGTACCCGTCAGTTCACCTCTCTGAGCTGTGCAGCTAGAAAAAAAAGTCGACCAGTTCCAGCTCTCAAGGCCTCAGTTCCAGTACCTAAGAAAGTAACTGATTGTCCCACACATTTCATCACCTTCGGAATGGGACGCTTCGGAATTCAGACCTGAACGTTCAGAAAGACCTGGACGTTCCAGGATGTGTGTGTTTCATCCCGATGGTCGGCCACGCCCTGGACGCATCCGTTCCGAAGCTTATGTGGGACTCCAACCAAACCTGCAGAAACCGACGAAGCAACGTCACAAAACCGGCAAAATGGATAGTGATTCCCTAAAAGAATAGTTTCACAGATTCCCATGCACGTTCAAAAGGTTCAATTCTTTCATCTATTTGGGTATAGGTTCTTTGGATGCACCCCTCCATGTAGAAGATTGGACCTCCACTCCAGGTTCTCCTGATGGGGCTTGGGACACTTGCAGCTTCAAAACATCTTTACACGGGTCTTGGTATGTTCCAGTGGTATAGCTGAAAGCTGACGATTGAAATAAAACGGTCACAATACACAGAACACAATGAAACACAACAACAGGTGCGGGACTGGTGGACCTCTTGTAGACGTGCTTGGCGCAAAAAAAGGTGGGCGGTGGAGCCGCAATCTCCTACCCTACAGGCCCGCCCGTTCGACTAGTTGGATTTCGTTGGTTCCTTCTTGGCACCCAGCACTTCACTCCCTTCGGACCTGTGCACCGGGCGTTTTCCTGGCGAAGCTTTCCTGGCGAAGTCACCGAAGTCACCGAAGTGGGTGGGTGGGAACCATCGAACCGGGAACGACACGGGACAACACAAACAGTAAAATAGTTGAAGCCGCGGGGAGCACGGAACATCTACAGTATGTCTGTCTTGTGGTTTCGTTCTTCTTTTGGAAGTGGTCTGTGGCAAACCTTGTGGCTCGTGAGTCTTCCTCTTCAAGTATCTTCAAGTAACAAGCTCCAGGTCTTCTTCAGTTGTTGTGATGGACCTGAACATGTCCGCCACGCCTTTGATCCAAGTACCAAGTAAGCCTGGGGCATCCTTTTCAGGTCCGGTGCCGAACGAAACCTTTTGGCTCGGTGAAGGGTTCACGAACCGAACGTGGCGCTCCTGGCCTTACTACTAGGAACAAGGACGCTACTAGGAAAAAACAAGGACAAACCTTTTGGGTCTGTGAAGGGTTCACGGAATTTTCCCATTCACTGCTCTTCGACTTGAGCCAACCTAAAGCAGTTATGTCAGTTCTGACTGTGCAGCGATACTGGCCCAAAAGCCTCCCGAAACAGCACAGAAGTGACCACAACAGTATCAAGTGAGCTGAGACCGGGCATTTAGCTGTCAATCCTTCGCGACAAGAGCGACTCGCGGATTCAACTTTCAACGGATGCCCACAAACATGTCATGGTCTTCACTGAGTCTTCACTCATCCATTCTATCTCCTCTCTTACGGCATCATTTGCTCGCTTCTCTTGACAACGACCGTGGCCACCCCACCTGCCTGGGATGGTGGCAGAAGCGGCAAGCAAAGAGTCGCACACTCGGGTTCAGAATCGGTGTCTGGCCAAGGTTCTTCGTTCCCATCTTGGCTGTCAGGCTCCTGCGCCAAGGCCAAGCTGGCATAGCAATTGGGTTGAAAACATTGGGCGCACCCAGGCAATCTATGGGTTTTGTCAGCATCTGATTGATCGCATTACACTGGAAGCTGGATTATGCTGGACTGCCCTGATTTCGGACATCAATTCGCCCTCCAAACCCTGGAAGCCAGTCTTCCCAGCAGTCTCCCTCCCTCAAAGCTTACTGGGCACTATGAGGAACCGGAAGTGCTGATCAAAGTAATGCTCACTCGTAATTCATTTGCAGTGGACTGCTGCGACGCCCCTCGATGTACTCCAACAGCCACTTCTCATCTCACTATGCGCAGGAAAAAAAGCGTGTAACACACTGCCTCTGAACACACCACCCGGGGGCCGGCACCGTTCGTAGCAAAAATCCGTCTCGGGAGGCCGGAAACTCGAAGGGCCTTGGTCACGTAGCGTGGGGGCGCCTGGGTGTGCTCGGTTTGCTCGCTGCCCGAGTGTTCGCTCAAGAGGACTGCTGCTTTCGCCTGGGTCGGCATCAAGGCAGGTGATGTGAGTGATCCAAAGAAAGTGAAGTGAAGTTGGATCTACTTTCACATGTGGGCCTCGTTATGAAAAAGCATCCAAATTGGAATTTTTTGGAGCAAGACAGTCATGCTTGGAAGTTAGAAGGGCAGTCGAGCGCGGAGCACCCACCCCCGGACACCGGCAAAACAACGATCTGGTACACCTCTTGCCACCTCTTGCCACTCCATTTGATACATGTCTGGGCCCTGCAAACACCACTGTTGCCACCTCTTGGTCACCGAGGAAGCTTACGGAAGCCGGCGCCTGCTACCTCATGTCGAAGCCTGCGGAAGCTTACGGAAGAACACCTACGGAAGCTTAGGGACCTTAGGGTTTAGGAAGCTTAGCACAGCTTAGGGACCTCATCCATGCGATTGTGTTCATGACATGAAGTTCCGATGTCTTCTTGCCACACGCAGCTGTCAGGATGCCTGTAAGACTTAGACCAAAAGGGTTTTGCCACACCCCTCCCGACCAGTATCCACCAGTCAATTGCTTGCCCAGCTGCATCCTCCGCATACTGGTATGGCACGTACCCTGGGAAGCTTGCGCTGCGGCGCAGCTTGGGCCTGAGATGCGCGCTGGTGTGGACAAGTAGCCAGTGGGACCCAAACTCAGAGGAAACAGTGACTTTGCCAAAGCCATGAGCCACTAAAAAAGGAAATTTGCACCAACTCGGGGAGCATTAGCCCACCACACCAACTACACGCGCTGTCCAAGGATCAGGATATTTGTTCGAAGTTCAAAGTTCAAATGATGTGTTTCGTGCTGTGCCGCAGTCTTTGCAAAAGAATAATCCCGATGATCTCGAGCAAGAAGGGAAACAACATGTCCAGCCATTTAAAACTCCTGGAAGACGTGAAACAAAGCGAAAAACACGAAATCGAAAAATTCCAACTCTGAATGGTGTCGTGCTTTTTCTTGTTTTAACATGGGACACCTCGCCACCTTTTACTTAGTTAAACAAAGACTAAGGACATCACCCCATAGAGCTCCTGACATCACCCCGGAGGACGCCATGCTGACATCACCCCCTATCGCGTCGTCCCGTCGTCGCTCCCAGTCGCTGACCAGGTCCTCTTCTGACCCCTTTCTTCTCGCCCGACGCACGTGCTTGGGTCCTCGGAGTCCACGAAGACGCTTGTTAAAGGCTTCAAGCGTGGTTCAAAGGCTTGCATGGTGAGACGAGACACTTGGAGAAGCGAGACAGAGAAGTAGCTGCTAAAGCAAGCCGAAGTAGCTGCGGATGAAAGGCATCCTGCTTGAAACACCCAAACACAATGCTCAGGTGCATCAATGGACCAAAAAACAAACAAAACACAACAAACAAACTAGCATAGCAGAGCATAGCATAACATAACAACTCAGAACATAACATAACAATACACTACACGACACGAAATCCCATTGCATTATATGCATGACAAACATACAAATATATAGAAACATGCAATATATAAAGTATATACGTTTTTTTGCTTTTTTCGGTGAGGGTGACCGTGCTCTATCTCTGTTGGGTGGGAAAAGCATGGGGGAGGTTTGGGAAAAAGAAGGGGGAGATTTGGTAGAGGTTTCTGATATTGCAGTGTTGTTTTCTGTTTCTCATATGGGCATTTTTCGCTGCCCTCCGACCGCCTCCAACTTGCGATCTTGGCAATGTCTCGGAGCCACACGAGTTCACGGTCTCACGGGGTCGGTGTCACCACGAGTGTCACCTCCAACATGTGCACTACCTGGTCCTTCCACTGTTCAGCTTGGAAGAGTTCTATATATTATGCTTGTGCGGTCGCCGGTGTTGGGAACATTGGAACACTCAAACCACGGTTTGAATATACATTGGGGTGTCTGCAGCTTATGCACTTATGCACATTGTTACTCTTGTGAGTGGGGAGCAAAGCACATGTTCCGCAAGCACATGTTCCTTGTGGCCTCCTTCACTCCTTCGCACTGGCTTCACAAAGCCCCGCTCTGGATGTCGCATGAATTCCGGGGATCACATGATGCACTTGGGTGCGTTAGAAGACGCAGTGGGTCTGTTTGGGTCGAGGAGTCGAGCAAGAAGCTACTGGGTTGGAGGCCATCGCTTGTACGTTGGAGGCCATTACTATTGGGTCGGAGGCCATCGCATCATAAGTATCATTCAGGAAATATTCCAGGTGGACTGGCCCACCATGAGTCCGGCTTGGCAGTTGGCCTTGTGGATGCGCGTTTTTAGCGCAACCATGCATGTCCAGGATCCTAGATTTCCCAACACCAACATGAAGAAAACATAGGTAGTAGTAGCAGCAGCAATCCACAATCGGCAATCCGTATACTTAAACCGCACCAAGGATTAAGGATTGATTTTGAACTGCTCCGAAAAAGAAAATCCCGCTGAGACGTATGAGCCGTGTCATTTTCCCACACGGTCCAAGTTGATTCCTTAAACCCATGGAAAGCCGCCATGGAAAATCAGTCCGGCAACCGCCATGGAAAGTCTGTTTTTTCCCGGGCCCACACCATCCAGCGGAGCAGGGCACTGCACTCGCACTCCAGATCTGCTCTCATCCCGTAAGGACTTCTCCACCATTGGGCGGAAAGAGAGTCGTCACCGTCGTCTCTTGGACTACCGGGCGAGGTGGAGAGAGGGTCAGTGGACTGCCTGGTGAGTGGGGCTTTGGTCAGTCAGAATCCGAAGAGGTCAATCCACTGTTGGCCTGGGGACATGTCTTGGAGTAAAGTGATTGTTAGATATCTTAAGATATCTTAAGAAGGTGATAGGGGGTGATAGGTGTCCCCATCTCCTCAATACACGTTCGCAAATCTGAGAGGTGAAGCAAAAGCCTTGCACCATGACACCTGCTAAACCACCCAGAGGCACTTGCAGGGTCTTCGCTACAACGACCAATATCGATACACTGCCACATACAAGGGTTAAATACTACCGTATGTTTACAGGTTGGGAAACATTCATTACATAGTCCATTTTCCTTGCAAATGTCATCGTGCACATGTCACCGAACTTGGTATTCAGCAGGTGGTTCAAAGCAGTGGCTGGTATTTGGGAGCTTTGGGGCCCATGTTTCTTCATTAACATCGCCCATGTGCTCAAGGTGGTTTTTGAAGTCACATCACCAGCCCTTGGCAGTCACATCAAGAGAGCGAGAAAAAGATCAAGCCATGTGCATGCAGGCTGAGTCCGTTCGGACAAATGAATCAACATTTGGGCTGCTTGTTTTTTGCGTCCGACCTGCCAAAAGCTGTACATGGCAGTGACTGGACTTGGGGCTTCTCCAAGAGGTCCTTTACATCTCGTGACCACAAAGAGATTTGGACACAACATATTCATAGCATGCATCTTTGTTGTATTGCAAAAAAGCTCATTTTTATGTTATCAAATGTTGAAAGGGTATGGTTTGTAGGCTCCACATATATAATATAATGATGTATATATATATATATATTTACGTATTTACTTCACTGAGCTCACGAGCATCTAACATTTGATGTTGCATCTTTTCGAGCTGAAATGTCCTTGCTGAGCAATCCCAACGGTGGTGGACACGGCAGCTCCGCGTATCCGTGCCATCGTGGACGACTCCCACTGATGGGTGGTTACTATGTAAGACCACTGCTTGGTAGAATCACTGGTGCTCACCGGGAAGTATTGACCCAAGACCCAAGGTTTTGTATTCACTTAAGCTTGGATGAACCAAAGCTTAGGGCCACCAAAAAACTGTACTTGAACCCATTGAAAATCAAAACTATGACGATACGTCTGGGCTACGTCGGTTGCTCTCACTCCTGCCAACCGGTGCCCACCATGGATGCTCAAGCCGCTTCGTCCCAACGACTCAGCGCTCTGCTGTCGACTGATCAGCGAAGAATTTCCTGAGTTGAAACAATCCCAACATATCCCAACGGTAGACTCGGCAGACTCCCAGCTTACTAGAAACCTCAGACAAAGTTTGAATAGGTGTGATTCGGTGGTATGATTCGATCGGGTGAATCAAGGTGTGATTCAGGGGTACGATTCGCCAAAGTAAGATACAAGTCCCTGTGTCATGTTTGCTTTAACTTCAATTTGAGTTTTCCCTCTACTGTTCTAACGCCTCAGAGGGAGAGAGAATGGAACGCGTGCGGACCCCATTCAGGCCCTAAGGATAAGATACTGTATGTATCAAAACTATGTATAACTTACATAACCCCAACTGTGGCTTTCTGGGCAATGTGGCAGCTTCTAATCTTGCGAGTTGGCCTCGAAGCATCGAGGCTCTTCGGGTGGGAACCCCACAGATCTTCCCCGTTGGACCACGAAGAATGCCAGCCCCATCTGTGACGGTCCTTCGGCCACCTGTGGGATAGACGGTCCTTCGGTTGCAGTTTTTCGGTATTGAACTCCTTACCTTTCGAGAATGTGTCTTGAAGAACAACTCTAACCTCTTTCAGGTGCCACTTTGCTGCTCAACCTCCAATTTGGCGGATCATCTGTTCCCAAATTGCCAATTTGTTCTTTGTTTAATTACACTGCTATAGACCTGTCTGTTTCTTCGTTTATAAAATCAAACACAAAAAAAAATGCGCCTCCGCTTTTCCCCTACCCCCAAAACTCAAAACCGACTCCCCTTCCCTACCCCCTTCCCTTCCCCCCATTACCTCGTGACTTCGACGGTGACCAAAGCGGCTCCGGCATGGCCGTCATGGACTCGAAAATCCCCGCCTCCGGGCGTCGCATGACCGCGTCGGCGGGTGTGTACACTTGAGGGAGGGTAGCGCGCAAGCGCGGGACACTTGGGGTGGTCCGGCATCCCGGATCGTTTCGGAAAGTGAATCCTGAAAAACGACATGAAATCAAACACATTCAAACACATGGCCCTTTTTCCGACCTGCAGATTCTCACGCCCCGGTGTCATCGTGGCTGGGTGTCTACGATCATGAGCTGGCATCGTGCTTCATCAGATATTCGCAATGTTCGGCCCACCCAAATCTCATCCAAGACTGTCTTCCTTGCGCCTTCCATCACTTTAATATAAGTTATGCAGCTATGCACCTTCGATTCAAGAATGCGACTGTCTGTTTTTCCCCTTCCTCTCAACCTTCTCCAAGAGTTTCTGGAATGCCTCTTTCTCTCTGTCTCTCTCTCTCTCTCTCTCTCTCCAAAAATTGTATCTGCTGGGCTAGAGATGCATCGTGATACACCTTGCCGAGCATGTTGGCTCGTCGTGAGAATGCGAGCGTGATATTACTCAAAATATCTCAAAATATTGGCATCATCATTCTCTTCTAAAGACACCATGCTTCATTTAAGTGCGGTGCACATGTCCCAGTCGGGCGCTCGTTTTCTCAGGTTTTCTCAGACTTGGTAGATGTGGCAGACTCGACGTGCCACTCAACGATGAGATAGCAACATGTGACTTGGCAAGCCTGCTAGACCCAAAGGACTACTCATGTTCCCTCGTGATGACAACCTGTGACTATCTGTGACTTGGTGAAAAAATAGGGCGATGAAAATTGCTCTCAGTGCCAATGTCCGAGCGAGATTCATAGCGGAAGGGGTGCTACGTTCTGATCCCGGGACAGTGCACCTTTCTTTGTTCACGTATGTCAGCAAGTCCTCTCTCTTTCGAGGTCGCTCGGGCATCTCTGTATGCGGCTTGTGCCCCGCCTCATAGTTTTCCTCTAAAGTGTCCAAAACTGAAATGCAGCAATCGTAAGGCCAAATTTGCCCTCCACTATGCAAAGCTTGTGAGCATTTACGTGGTAACGGAGCCCAACACAAAGAGAAAATTGCGAAAGGCCACGTGCCCAGGTTTCCCGGTCGCACAGCTTGACCCGAAGGAGCATCACTGGACCAGCTCAGCCGTGATCGCCGCCGGCTCGAACATCAAGATGTCATGCCACATTCCACGTCAAAGTTGCTGCAACATCCTTACTTGCTTTGGTCATCCGGTCTGCGCAATGTCCAGGCCAAGCGGCGTCTCCGCGGGCGCAGTTGCTGAGGGCCAGTGCAACTTTACGCACGAACAGCGGAGACGCAACATGTGGGCAAAGAGCTTGTCCTGTTGGTCTTGGATGACGCACTGGATTATGGGGTAGAGGGTATATGTTTTCCCATTTTTCTACCCAGTACACCACTAGTGGAAGTGTCGAGGTGGCTGGCCACCTCCGCACAGCTCTCTCGGAAGCAGGGGGTCCTTCCCAGTGCAAAGTTGATGGCCAGCATCCCCTTCACCTGGCCGGCTCTCCTTACGCCTTCAATCTGTCCTTGGCTGGTCGACATGGAGTTTCTGCTTTCAGAGGTCGCTTGCGGCCCCAGAAGAGATGGCAATCACAACATCTCATATTTGTC